GCCTGAAAAAGCCCACTATGTTGGAGCGAAACGTCGCCTAAAAAAAAGTTTCCATCTTTCAATTTATTATAAAACCTCATACCCAAGAAAAGGAAAAAATAATATATGGATATGGTATATTAAAGAAGTAACTATTAACATCCGAACCCCTTATACCAACAAAAAGAACAGTAACAACGCGAAAAAGTAATATATTAGAAAATGATGTACAGAAATATCTTATATGTGAGGATACTTCATCTACCTGTGATTTGGATACTATAAATTTGGAAGATTCTGTCAGCAGTGATTCTTCTGAATCGGAGTAGTTACGATCTATGCATTTTGTTGTCCTAAAGTAAATTTATAGTATCTTAATTTTTTTTTTAATTAAATATAACATTAATGTTTCTTTTTCATTAAAGAAAACATTTTTATCTTATATTAGGCTTATATTGTAGGAATCATGTTCTAATGTTATTTCAATTCTTTTTTATCACAGGGATTTATTTAATACTTACACCGTTCACATACTATAAATTATTATTTCCTTAGATGAAACACAGCTCCAACATTTTTATTATTTATAAGTGTTTTTTTCATAAACGTGGGACTAAGAACATCATCATTTAGTACAATGAGAGTACTCATCATTTGTGTCAAATAAACCTAAAAGGTTTCCTATTGCATACACATTTTTTTTTAATTTCAATTCTATAGAGAAAAGAAAACACAGCAGCTGTTAATGAAAAATAAAATTTTTAAACTGTTATTTTTTTCTCTAAAAATAAACAAAGCTGAGCTTTTTTAAAGAAACGTAATACCGATCAATTCGAAATATGTTTTTTTCCTTTTTTTTATTTTGATTGAAAACCTTGTCAGTCTTTGATCTGGTGATAAATTGCTTGTGCTGTGTTACACGATTCATATTCTCCTCGTTAATCATCATAAACGATGTACTTTTACAGAATTAAATATGAAAAAACAGTGACATTTTCCTGAAAATAAATATTTCCTTTACGCCTGCATTCGGTTGATACATTTTGCAAATGAAAAATTGTTTTTCTAAAGCTTTTTCTTCGATATTTAAATCTTGACTTTTATTTCAAACATTTGCAAGCGTTTTCCACTTGAATTGAGATTGGTTTTTGGTGGAAACACTAAGAAAACTCAACTGGCCTTTTATTTACTCAAACAGAATCGTCGTCTCTTCTGTTTTAATTGCATTTTCTTTACGTACTTGTGACAAAAAATAGTCGAGTTTAGAGTTAGTTTTGATGGGAAAGACTTTTTACCAGTCATTTCTTCTGGGGTACGTTTTGCTAGTACGTTGTTAAGTTTTTAAAATTCGTCTGACTCTCTAGATTAAATTGGTTTTTCTGTTAGAAAATAGCAAGATTAATTTTGGGGTTAGAAAACAGAAAAATGGAGGATTTTTCAAGGAACAGAAATATAAAATCAATTTTTTAGATTCTGTTTTATGAAATTTATGGTTAATAATAATTATATTGGATATATTTACGGCCATCACTATATTTTTATATTTTTTTACACTATCGTCTTAAAATAAAAATATCAAACCAATTTTTGTTTTTGGAATGACTGAGTTTTTCAACGTTTCTAACAAACCAGTCAATATCAAAAATATTTAAAAAAACGTTTAAAGTTTTTTGTAGAATTTCCTTTCTTTTTTAATTTCTACTATACAGGGTCAGTCTTAAATAAGTACAGGGTGTCCCATTTTGATTTAATTCATACGGTATCTTTGTTATTAGTCAAGATAGGAATATGCGGTTTGCACAAACCTATCCCACGTTTTTTTCAAACAGAAGGTGTTGTAAACAAAATTTTCATAGCCCCCTTCCTTTCCGAGCTACAGGGTCTTTTCGAAAACTTTGCAACTTGGAACAACCCCCGTATCTCCGTTACTATCGATGATATCGAGAAGGTGAAAACTGATTATTGTAAAACTTTTTGCGCAGAATACAGTGGCGTAGTCTGTTTTTCTACGAAACAAATATTTTTGAAAATATGAATTAAAGTTATATTTTTTCTAACGCATGCGGGTTTGCAAATATCTAAAAGCTTGCATTATTAAAGCATTTTCCAGATGTCTGACGTTGTTGTAGTTGCCGAAATATATTTGATATTTCAAAAATCCCCAAAATCAGAAATCAAGAACGGACAAATCCGGGAATCAGGGTGGCCATCATATGGGTCCATTGGTTCCAATTCATTGATTTGAGAAATAATAATTTAACAAATCTCTAATATTTTCAAAGTTGTGAGGGGAAGCCCAATCTTGCCAGAAGGAATATCTAAAAGTTCCGGTACGATAGCTACCAAGATTTACAAATAGCGGCAGAGAGTTAAGTTTCCCTAATATATAAAGAATTTATTAGTGGCTCTCAAAATAAAACAAGAGGCAGATAGCAGTATATACTTTTAATAATTCTTTAGTTTCTTTTATTATCAATCATGGTCTACTACTAAATATAATCATAATATATTTTTTTAAATATTGCAGTAAATAGTGAAAAAAAAAATTATAAATATATAGGATGTTCCAATTAAGAAAACATAACTTTAGTTAATATCTTTAAAAATGTTCTGTTCGTAGAATAACAGACTACGCCACTGTATTCTACATAAAAAGTTCTACAATGAACAGTTTTCACCTTCTCCATACCTTTAACAATAACAGAGATACAGGGTGTTATATTTATTACCGCACAAAATATTTTGTTTCTTAAATTTTGGGAACCACTGGACCTTTTCTGAGTTTTCTTTCTGGCAAATTTAATCTACCACACCACCCATGTTGCCATATTGTCAAGATATTGTCATTTAACTAAAAACTATAGAAAGTTACAAAAAAAAATCGCGAAAAGTAAAACTGAGAGACGTGTTTCTGAGGTCGAATTATAATACCTCTAAAAATATTTGCACTTACTTAAGACTCACCCTGTATTATTTGTCTGATGTTAATAATAAACTTACGAGAGAAAAAATCACGTTCTAATTGATAACCAATTCTTTAACAGCAGTTGATATAATTTGTGTTCATATATAAAGTTATAGTCAAGTAGCTCAAAAAAAAAAGAGTTGAAAGATTTTATCGGCACAGAAGTTATGAGACAGAAAAAAATCTTTCTAGAACACTTGTGCTAATTCTCTTTACAATTTCGTTTCCACAAAGCAAAAGAAATTTTCTTTGCTTCAATTAATTTTTTCATTAAAATCTAATTACTCATCAGAAAGAAAAGCGGCATTCTGTTAGTTTTGAGGAAAAATTCTGCCTTTTGTGGTCTTTTCTTAGCTCAAACTCACTCTTTTTTTCCCACTTATACTCGGCGTAAGATTTTTTCTACTTTAGAAATTAAATTAGTTTTTATTCTGACCAAGAAGCCAGACTATTTGTTTTTAAAATTGCATTTTATTTGTTTTGATCCCAACGGCAAACGAGAGACAGAATAGAATTTATGTAATTAAAATTAAGGAATTTAGTGCTAGTTTTAACTCTCTTCAATAAAATGAAATCAAATTAAAGTCTTGAAAGACTCCAAAGTGTCTAGACTCTCTGCTATATTTGTTCCCTCGTAATTTTTTAAGAAAATTGGTCTTTGTTCTTAAAGTCCTGATAAAAAGCACAATAATTTAATATAATTTCAATATACAGGGTGGTCCGAACTGTATTCCGAAAACTTCGCCAACATATTCTGCAGATAAAAATAAGTATAAAAGTTCGTATAAATGTATGTACTAAAATGTTTAGTTTTGGAGATACAGGGTGTAGAAATTTCATTTTTATTTCGATATTTTCCAAATAATATCTGAAGTAACATCAATATTTGGATGAAAGTTGGTGTCTGGGACTTTTTAGACATGGGAAATTTGATTTTCATGTCAATATGACTCGTATTTTTAGGGAGCGCCACCTACATGTTACAAGGGTAATAACTTTTCGTCCGTACCTGTATAAATCTACTGAATAAAAAGATATACATTTACTGCGTTTATTACCCTTCAAATCAGTTAAAAAATATGTATGTGGCGCCCTCTAGAATTAGGAGTCATATTAACATCAAAATCAAATTTATCATATCAAAAACTCCCAGATACCAATTTTCATCCAAATATTGACGTTGCTTCAAAAATGATTTGGAAAAATTCGAAATAAAAATGAAACTTCGACACCCTGTATCTCCGAAACTAAGCATTTTAGGACATACATTTATTCGAACTTTTTTACTTATTGTATCTGTAGAATATACTACCGAAGTTTTCGGAGTACAATTCGGACCACCCGGTATATTGTTGGTTAAAAACATAAATAAATAAATAAATGCCTTTACTGTCAAAAAATTTTACATTTTGTAGACAAAGGTAAACTAAATAAACAAAGTAAACAAACAAACAAACAAAAGAGAATAGAAAACATTATACAAATAACATTGCCAGTCTTATTGTTTAAAATAAACATTTATAAAAGTTTACAATTTCAAAGAATAAAAAAATAAAAATAATATCCAAAAATATTTAGTTAGTTTACAGTAAATATCAATGACCTCTAAACAAATTTATTTCGATGTCATTGGTAAATATAGCAAGAGCAAACATTAGACCAGTATTTATAAGATCAAATTCGATTATCAAAATATAAGTAATTTACGGTGTAGAAAGCCTTCTTTTACCATTGTTGTGTTTCTTATAGAATTCTACATAAAGTGCATTATTTTTTTGAGAATTTTATAAGGAACACAAAAATGGTAAAAGAAATAGGGGTTGCCATTTAAAATTTTAGGGGTAGGTGCCCTGGGTGCCCAAGGGTTGAGGGTAACACGACAACAAATTCCTCAAAAATTGTCCCCCTTGATATGTAAATTGACGTATTTCGCCAAATTTTCACACTATTATAAGTAGAGGTAATATTAAATACTTTTCGTTTTCAAATTGTCACCCTGTATAAAATCAAACTATTAAAATTAAAAATATTCATAATTTAATATACTACGACTCACCTTTAATCTTATCGAAGTGAGTATCTGCTTGCAAGTGATGGGATACAAAATGGCGAAATATCTCTCGGTACAGATGACAACCAGAATAAATATACTCGCCGTGCTGGATAAGGACTGTATAAACATGTACATTTTGCAGAGGAAATCTCCTAAAACCCAGCTGAAACAAAATAAGATTTTTCAGGATTTGTACATAAGTCTTTGAATTTATAGAGAAGTTTGTTTTTATGTGACTTATTGAAATAGTAAGTAAGTATTCCGGATAAAGACAAATATAATAAGATATTTTATTGTAGGAATATTTATATTTTATTCAGATTTATTTCTTTTTTCAATAGCAACTGTTAAAATTGCCTTATATTTATCAAAAATAGTAGATAAAATAGTATTTTAACCGCAAGAGGGTAGATTAAATTAATGATACTTTAACAGCGAGGATAGTTTAAAAACTTTATTTTTTTTCTCTCATTTTTGAAAGTTTTTGTATTCCTTTTCATAAGTTATTCGGGATTTAAATGGAAGTAGTTTGGATATGGCCTTTGTCGCATCAACCTGAATATCTGTTGGTAATTTACTTATTTCGTTTTGAGCCATTTCTGGCTCCAATTCAATCAGCAATCAACACGAAAGAGAATTAAAAAATGTTGACTCAAAACTGACAACTAAAGAGACAGCTTTATTTATTTGTCAAATTACATAGAAACCAACGCCAACCCAGCACAATATTTTTTCTACTCGTAATAAACTCCTTGAAATAATAATTTCTGAATATTTTTTAAAACGTAATTGGCTATGGAAAAAAATATTGTTTTAATCACGACCATAAAATTGCATTATCGTCTCCCGAAATTAATATAAAAAAGAATCTTGTATAAAAAATAACTATATTTATTAATTTTTTAAGTTATTATCATAATATACCGGATGCGTCTCGAATAGGGCTCACCCCTATAACTTATAACGGGTTTTTTAAGATAAAAAACGATATTTGATATGTTCGTATATGTCATAAATTAGGATTGATTGACGTATTCAATTGTTCTTGGTCACTTCCTGTTTCACCGAAAATGACTACAATTTTTGGTTTTTAAATGGTATATTTCTAGTTTATTCGATAGAAAATCACCCTCTCTGTAGAACGACATATCATATGTCAACTTTTGGAATTTCCGCTTAAAAAATCGTGTTTTAACTTTCAATCTAGAGTTCCATGGCTGTGCTAATAATGCTAATTTATAATCAAGAAGCCTTGGAAAAATACATTTGATCGTCTAATGTTTTAGTATTTTGTTCTGCAGTGCCGATTCTGTAAATCTATATTTCCTGTCCAGTGACTCACCAATCGTATTAAAATAACATAGGCTAGGCAAGAAATTTCTTGCTACGGAGCTTACAAAATCTCACTCTTGGCCGGTTAAAAGATGCCCAAATCGTATTTTTAATCATATCTAAAAAAAATTTCAAATGGCAGGAGGGTGGCTCATTAACATATTTGGAAAAAGCACTTTTTTACGAATAATTTTGTACCACACACTTGGTAATTCGAGTCAATAATTGTCGTTATGAGCTAGTGATGGGTTGTTATTTAAGTATCTGTTATTTTATAACAATTATTTAGAAATAACATAACGCAACCGTTACTGCTTTTAAAAAATAACAGATATAAAATAACGACACGCAGAGATCGAGTGTTCGTGAAACGAAGTCGGCGCTCTGCACCGCCACGAAATTCGATGCTGCTCGAAGCAATTCCAAAAAACAACTAGTATGGATGGAAAACCTATTATTTCGACAACCATCGATACAGGCGGCGAGATACAACGGACAACGGAGTGGGGTATGCGCTACGGCGCGGCGCGTCGTGTTGGGCTGACAACAGCTTAAAAATAATAGGATATAAAAGAAGCAGCTTTTTTGAAACAGTTGCGGGCATAACGCCTGGCTGTCGAGATAACAGGAGTGGGAAAGGAGCGCTGCTGCATCGGTCGATTGTCGATGGAGGCTCGCAACGGGTTGGAGAATAACGCATCAGTTGTTTTAGCTATGTTGTTTTTTTACCTGTTACGAGCATAACAGAACGGCGTTCGAGATAATCGGAGGTTTGAAACAGGTTGGAGAATAACGCATCAGTTGTTTTAGATACATATTGTTTTTCAACCTGTTACGAGCATAACGGGCGGAGGTCGAGATATTATGGCGCTGTATGTTTCAATACTTTGTTATTAAGTTTCAATATTTAAGTATTTATTTATTCTGAAAAATTTTCAGAATAATATTTTAAGATTTTTTAAAAATGTATACAGGGTGTTTTGAAAAATCTGGTCATTGATTAATCACGATCCTGCTTAAAGCCCTTGACGTAAAAAGCTGATTTTTGGAAAACGGATTGACTTTAGGGTGTAGAGGTGCGATAAGAAGGGATTTTTCGAAACTCAAATTCTAAGGGGGTGAAACCACCCTCAAATATTAGAATATTTTTTATTTAAAAACTGGTGAGTTTTTCGAAAAAACTCTTAAACACGTATATTTTATTTTGTTGTTTTACATATTTTGAGATTTTTACAAAATATATACAGGGTGTTTCATAAAATATGACCACTGAGTAATCACTATTCTGCTTAAACTGCTTGACGTTTAAAGCTGATTTTTGGTAAACGGATTGACTGTGGGGTGTAGAGGTGCGATAAGGAGGGGTTTCTCGAATCTCAAATTCCAAGAGGGTGAAAACGCCCCTCAAATATTACAATATTTATTATTTAAAAAACGGTTAGTCTTTCGGGAAAACGATTGGACACGCATAATTTATTTTGTTTTTTTACATATTTTGAAATTTTTTAAAAAATAATACAGGGTGTTCCAAAAAGTTGAGTAATTGATTAACCACGATTCTGCTTAAACTGCTCGACGTTTAAAGCATATTTTTGGCAAATGTGAGAAAATTTTATCCAGTTTGTATGTTAATGGAAATTCTTGCTTTGCTTTATCATCACCATTACAAATTAATAATTCGATGCGAACGAAGTCGCGGGTACAACTTAACAAGTATAGCTAGAGACGTGAGAAATATAAAATAAGAGACGCCCCCCGATGCGCAGTGGACATCCCACAAATTTGCTTCAATCAGATTTTTCGTAGCGTAACTGCATCTCTCTTCCGCCGAATGCGTTCTCTCTCTATCGTGTGCGCGACCGGTGCTATCCCCAAGTCTCTTCCTATATTTGTCAAACTGTACATGCTAGTTTAAGTGTAAAATTAATTCGAACTCTAGTGTGTAGTTGGTTTACTTATGAAGAATATACTACACATTTTCTTATATTGCTATTTTTTGACCGCAAATGGTAAAATCATAACGAAGAGCTTCTCGCCCGTCGAGTGAGATGCACCCTGTACACTGCTACGCAATTCAGAATCTACGCGGATCCAGGGGTAGGTAGATCGGAATTTATAGATATAGACGAGTGGCGGCATTTTGGCTTTTTTATATCGCAATTTGTAAACAGCGCTTATTTGTAAACAACCCCCGTTTTTAGAGAGGTATTTTAGATAACAATCGATATTTAGAAATGTTATGACACCCTGGAAATACTACCACCGAGCACGTCATGGTTGCAACTGCGTTAATACGCCTGGCGGTGACCGCCTCATATTCTTTCAGATATTTAGCAATAAAATAAAGAAACCTGTTATTTTTAAGCTGTTATTTTAAGCTGTTTTTTATAAATAACTATAACAGTTTCAACTGTTATCTAAAAATAACAGTTTTGCCCATCACTATTATGAGCCGCATGTTACAATTTCAAATAAATCATATGCGAAAATGTCAAAAGCAGACATAATATGATATGTCATTATATTCAGAGAGTCATTTTCTATCAAATAAGGTAAAAAAATACCGAGAGTGCCATTTAAAAATCAAAAGTTCCAGTCATTTCCGGCGAAACAGAAATTGACCTAAAACAATTTAATATGTCAATCAATCCTAATTTATGTCATATACTAACACACCAAATCTCGATTTTTTTATCTGAAAAAATAAAAAAGTTATAGGGGGTGAGAAACTTTTGAGACGCACCCGGTATATTTCAATGTCTTTCATGCTATCTTCCAGCTATTTTCCATTAAATTTCCATTGGTTAATGTCTAGTATGTCATTAATTTACAGTGGACATGAGCTTGACTGTATAATTTGTATCCCTGATATTTTAGTATTCTCCTATTCAATAATATACATATATACAGGGTGATTCCTGTAAGTCGGTCATGCTTTCGGGGAATGATAAAGGACGTCGAAATATTAATTTTGATATAGCACACTATGGGTCGGAAATGCCTCTTACGCAATAATAAAATTTTATAACGATACCTTCAACTGTTAAAAAAACTATTAAAGAATATCTCTAATTTTTTAAAAACTTTAACACCCTGTATCTTGCATAAGAGGCATTTCCGACCCATAGTGTGCTATATCAAAATTAATATTTGGACGTCCCCTATCATTCCCCGAAAGCATGACCGACTTACAGGAATCACCCTGTATAATACATTTATAATAAATGAAACCTTTTTTTAATCATGCTCTGTTGGTTTTAAAATGATAAATATGTTTTAGTATAGTTCTGACTTAAATCTTCACCAGGGTTTATAGCATTTTCTATTGCAGGAAAAATTATTTTTCTCTTATCATTTATTATTCGGCATTCATAACTCATCTCTGCATAAAAAAAGGTTTACTATAGACACCAACGCCATTCATTCTATGCAAATATAAGTACACTAGCGTGTACCAGCGACTTCGTTAGAGTCGAATTAATCATTTGTAATGGTGATGATAAAGCAAAGCAAGAATTTCCATTAACATACAAACTGCTTTAACATATAAATCTGAGAAATAACATTTTCTCACATTTATGTTAGCATGACAAAAAACAATATGGCGATATTATTATATAACGTGGTAATATTTGAGGGGTAGTTTCATCTCTTTGGAATTTGACTTCGAAATCGAAAAATCCGTTTGCCAAAAATAAGCTTTTTACGTCAAGCAGTTTAAGCAGAATCGTGGTTAAGAAATTACCCAACTTTTTGGAACACCCTGTATGATTTTTTAAAAAATTTCAAAATACGTAAAAAACAAATAAATTATGCTTGTCCATGCGTTTC